TAACAGAATAAATATTATAGGAACTTCAAAAGAGAAAAGAAGCAAGAACAATAAGAAATAGCATCATTACTTATTTAGAAGAATTTGATTTCGACCGCTAGAATGTATCAAAGGACTTTCTTACGTCACAAAAAAAAAAAATTTTTAATTATTGTTACCGAGGCCCGGTTCTGTGATGGCCAAAAAGATCTGAACCCTAATTGGTAGTATTAATTAGAGTTTCCAGAACCGTACTAAAATATTTTCGTTCAACGATTATGGAGTTAGTCAATTGGCAAGCAAGGGATGTTTCCCAAAAATAAAACCGATAAAAAATTGAGTTTCAAATAAAAATAATATCAAATTATTAAGTCATGAGAAAGTAAACATCAACATGTCATCACAAACTAAACACAAATAATAAACACAAGCGCACAAAAAAGACAACACATAGGTAGCTTAAAAATTACATCAAACAACATCAACCAACCTCGAATCCAACTTAATTAAATTACAAAAAAAAATTAAAATTTTCAATTAATGATGTAAATGCCTATGATAACATAACACGAAAAAATATAACTAATACATTCAGAAATATTATACTAAATAAAAAAATAACATATTAAAACTTCAATAATTGCTAATAAACAATATAGAAACTTCAAAATAACTTTAGAAGTAAGAACAGTAAGAGATGGCATCACTACTTATGTAGAAGAGTTTCATTTCGACCGCTAGAAAATATCAAAAGACTTTCGCACGTAACAAAAAATATGTTTTTAATTATTATTACCGAGTCCCGAAAGTACCGAAAGAACCGAGAATTAATAATTTCGAGTCCCGGTTCTTTGGTGTCTCAAAAGAACCGGGACTCTGGAATCTGAACCCCAAATGTTACCGAGTCCCGAAAGTACCGAAAGAATCGGGAATTAATCATTTCGGGTGTCGGTTCTTTGATGTCTCAAAAGACCCGGGAACCTCCGGTACTGTCGGTATCGGGATTTCCCGATTGTGAACCCTACTTTAAATGCTGGCGACACAACTCATTAACTTAAAAGGCAATCATTGACTCAGAAAATAAAGAGTTTTCAAGCCAATACTTATTTCAAAGCCACCCAGTGGCGGCTACAGAGGGGGGAGGGGGGGCATGGTGCCCAAATTTTTTTAATAATAGCTTTGATGAACATTTTGTTTCTGAATAAAGCATATTTTCGTTAATCAAGAAGGAATTTTGAATATCCGTTTATTTTCAGTTTGACAGTTCTTGTTAATGCTTTTCTGTATGTAGAGGGTGTCCCATTTTAGTTGCGATCATACGGTATCTCCGTTATTAGTGAAAATAGGAGGATGCGGTTTGCACAAATCTATCCCACTTTTTTGTCAAACGCTAGATGCTGTAAACAAAATTTGACAACTTGGGACATTCCCCGTATTTCTGTTATTGTGCAAACTATCTAGAAGGTCAAAACTGTTTCTTGTAAAACTTTTCATGTTAAATACAGTGGCGTAGTTTCGTATTCCACGAAAAAAATATTTTTGAAGATATATAATCTAAAGTTACGTTTTTTTCAGACAGAACATCCTGTATATTTATAAATTATACAATCCGGCTTGGTATGAGCTTCTTAAAAATATATAACACTCTATATTTATTTTCACTATTTACTGTAAAATTTAAAAGATATATTTTTTTCTTATTAGTAGGCCCTGATAGATAATAAAAAATGGCATTTACTAAAATATTCATATGTAATATGTATATGAACTAAAATATTTTAAACGGCCTACACACGTAACGATTTATCGTACTGCGCGTTGAAGTGCAGAACGTAAAGAAAATCGCACGGCTTGCAGTACAGCCATTTTTTGTACACACGATGCAACACATTGTACTGCCGCAGTTCAGATTATTCACTTTTCGTCGAGAAGGGCTACCGTTATGTCAAGAATTTCAAAGAAGAAATCTGCCGTGCTTGTAGCTGCGGTATTGCTGATAGATAAAGATGATGACAAAAAGAAATCAAAAAGCAAAAATGGTGTAAAAACTGGTTGCTGGAGAAAAACAAATATTCAAAAAAAAAAATAAACAAAATTTCATAACTGAAATTTCTTTTCATTTTATTTGCATAATCTTTTGATTTCACATCCCATAGGCATCTATTTTCTCTATATAAATGAATAAAGTCTTCCCAGAACGTCTTATTTTTTAAATCCATAATATTGATTAAACCAAAAATAAATAAAAATTCTATCGTAACTGCGCGCTGCGGCAGGGGGCACTCCACGCGTTCAAACCCCACCCCAGACACGACCCGTTGATACGATATTTTACGGAAGCTCCGTACTGCAAACGATTTGACAACTGCATACTGCAAACCATCCAATTTCCCTACACACGCTACGATTTATCGGTAATGCGGCAGTTTCGATGGATATCGTACTGCATGCAGTACGATAAATCGTTACGTGTGTAGGCCGTTTTACTTTTAAACTGTTACCACTGAATCACTGATTTTTTTGTTAATCGCCCCTTTTACTTAAAACTTTTAAATATTGCAGTAAATAGTGAAAATAAATTATATATGTTTTTGAGAAGCTCAAAGCAAGCCAGAACGTATGATTTATAAATATTCTATGAGTGTTCTACTTAAGAAAACATAACATTAGGTCATATCTTCAAAAATATGTTTTTCGTGGAAGACACTACGCTACTGTATTTTACTTAGTTCTATAAGAAACAGTTTTCACCTTCTTCACACCTTTCACAATAACCGAGGTACAGGGAGTGTCCCAATTTGCAAAATTTTTAAAAGAATCTTTAGTTTGGCAAAAAAGTGAGACAGGTTAGTGCAAACCGCATCCTCCTATTTTTACTAATAAGAAAGATACTGTATGACTGTTCAAATAAAGTCCTCCTACTCTGGGTGCCTGCTCACCAAGTGATAGAAGGCAATGAAAAAGCAAATGATCTAGCTAGAAAAGGAGCGAACACTCCACTAACTGGACCAGAACCGTTCTGCTTTCCAAGTGGTAACCAACTCAAGGCGGAACTCAAGAACTTGGAAGACTCCATCCACAACCTGGACACTCGAAGAAGTTTCTGAGGGCTTACAATCAAGAAAAATCAAAGATCTTCCTGGGTTTAAGTAAGAATAATCTTCGGATTGTCACGGGGTTTTTAACAGGACACTGTCTCCTCAATGAACACCTCAGTAGATTGAAACTAAGAAGAAACGGCGAAGGCAGATTATGTGGGGAAAGTGGGAAAACAGCAGTACACCTCATCACTGAGTGCGCCGAGACGACAACCATTCGTACCATGAACTTTGGTACGATTGATATTGGAAATGGAGAACTACCCTCTATAAAACCGTCCCAGATACTGGCTTTTGTCAAAGCCCTGGAACTGTATAATGAGTTATAACTCAAGAAAGGGGGACTCAATAGATCTATAAGGTCGCAGTAATTAACCCCCCTCCCACTCATTCTAAATTCTAAAAATTCTACTGTATGATTTCAACTAAAATGGGTCACCCTGTACAGTCATTTTATTCACTAAAGTTGTAAAATTATTTACAATTTTACTATCAAAGGCATATTTACGAGCAAAGAGGTTATAAGTTAATTTGTATTTAAATTATCTTTGCCTTCTAAAAGCAACACATTTAGTAAATCTCGAAAAATTACAGAGACGTTAATTTATATCCCTTCCATTCCATTTATTTATATTTTAATACCATCGACACATTTATTGAATTTATTAAAACGGTAAATACAAATTCTGGGCTTTAGATATTTCATATTTTTATCTTTTAGCAATAAATCTGGACGGGTGAGCTAGAAAATCAAACCCAATTCAATTAATAAATAGGAAAAGCCAATTCTGATCTAAATGCTTTATTTTTAATTAAAACAACTTTTTTACGGACCAAGTAAATAACTTTTATTATATTGGACAAACTGATTAGCACTTTTGTTAAAAATAGTTCATCTTTGATTCTGAGAGCGCATTTACTTATTATAATACTGAAGTATCGTTTTACACTCTTCTAGCAGAGAAAGTTTGAGGATTGCAGATACATGTTTCTCCTTGTTTATTCTTTTTCTCCTTCCTTTATTGGGCAGTATTAGAACATCCATGTAACAGTCCATATTTATAATCTAGTGAATATCACATGTTAGCCTGGACTAAATTTTTGATAGTTATTAACCTATTCCTTTGCCCCATTTACATATCTATTATGGTCTTCTTCTCTATGTTACATTTTCCAGAGATATTATAAGGTGAGTGTGATTGCTGTTTATCCAGATAGAGCATTTGAATAAATATTCATATGGTTATATAGTTATAGAGTCACAATAAGGGGAATTCTGAATTCTCCATTTTGTTAATGACCAAAAGGCAGTGTCTCAATAAATGGTTTGTGGCACTACGATATTTACACAGGGTCGTCGCTTGTATGGAAAAGGTCGATTATTAGGTAAAGTATAGGAGGTATCGCAAAAAGTTAAATACAAAAGTTATAGGATTTTTAAATATCTATTAGCGGGTAATAAATTTAAGTATACAGGCTCGGTCATAAAGTCGTGGCACATCAAAGTTTATTTTTTTTAAATAGCCCCTGTATATTATTGCATATCTCAATTCTTCCTTTTCTAAGCAAAAATCGAAATAAACACAATGTACCTCAAACCAGCCGTTTCCGAGTTATTGACTTTTGAAAATAACACTGTGTGCCACGACTTTATGACGGGCCCTGTATACTTAAATTTATTACTCGCTTATAGATATTTTAAAATCCTATAACTTTTGTATTTAAATTTTTGCGGTACCTCCTATATTTTATCTATTAATCGACCGTTTCCATATATAAAAGCGACCCTGTATTTGAATTTCAGCACTCAAAATATTTAATTCGTTGTGAAATTTCATAAAGCCGCACTATAAAAAAATATGGATTACACAGTATAGAAACTACGCTCGTACCTATGAAAGTTAAGTTATATTTTAAAGTTACCTGATAGTTGAGGACTAGAAGGAGTATGGTAACCATTTCCAGATTCATGTCGATTTTCAATTTCTCTATGGGAGTTAATTTCGTCGCTGTCGTAAGATGACATCATCTTGCTTTTTACTCGCTCTTCCTGGCTTATTTTGCTGACGTTCCTTTTCGCAAGATCTGAAAGAAACAGAGAGTTCAGCATTTTATATTAATAAGCAAATTCATTCCAAAATTTATTTTATAACAAGTTTACAAGTTTTATCTTTTCCCTTGGATTACTATAAGTAATGTTCTAAAACACTTAAGTACCATGTGATCGAATAAAAAAAACCGTCAGGGCAGGCAACGTCATAGAAATAATATTTTAGTTCGAGCTAAAAATATTTCCTTGATAAAAGTGATAGAATTATTACTGAAATAATGATAATAAGTATTAAATGCGATATTTTTCAAAATCCCAAATGCATTTTTTTATGGTTTTACTAGTTCATTGCTATTAAAAATATTCTACCGATATGATAAAAACCGAAATTTATTTTTACTAGCAGAACTCTTTTCCGTTAAAACTTGTTCTATTTCCTAATGCATTTTCAATTTATTTATAAAAGCCACTAAAACTCATACATTTGACGTTTGCAAATAAAACAAGTATTTGGAAACAATAAAAATAAAATGTTATGTTCCGAACTTGTCGTATTATTTTTACAATCAGCGTAAAAGGAGTTTCGTACAAAATTTTATGTATTTTTCTACTTTAATGCTTCTTCTGCGTGGTCTTTATTATGTAAATATTCTTTTTAAACTTTTACAATTTGAGTACTTGGTAACTTACACTATTAATTTGTTACAATAATATTTATAGTTTAACAACAAGAAACTTCCGAAAATATTTAATTATGAATGCAGTTTTAAAAAGTACACAAGTATTATTAAATCATTTCTTTTGTTTGAAGCTTCATAATACTGAATATCAAAACGGAAGGTAATGGAATTTGTGTGAAGGGAAGAGTTTTGTTGAAACCGGATGAAATTGACACCAACTTTGCCTAAAACAATTAGTGCCCTACTTTTAATTTAATTTAATAACTGACATGCAATGCGTTCGAAATGTTTATTAACTTCAAAGGAAGAACAATTAAATTTACGATGAAGTGACAATGACTGTTGGAAATAATTGCTTATTATGTTTTGCATAGGCACTGGTTCTACGTAATTATTTAGATGCTATTGAAATGCAATAATTGGTAGGAAACTTAATAGACTTTGTACAATGTGTTTTGTTCAATTTATTTCGTATATGTCTTGTGGTGGATATTTACACTGTACTACTATACTGTACTACTACTGTAAATTACAAACCAGTTTAGTATTCGGAGACTGAGTGTATGAGAATAGTGTCAGATATTAAGGCGGTCTCTGACGACTCATGTATACTTAACAAAAAATTGTCATTGGGATACACTTGCCATGTTGTGTATGTTGTGTGAGTGGTTTCCTTGTGCAATTATTTGTCACACGTCGCACCGCGTGAGCGCCGAGCTTGTTGCAAAAACATGTTGTTTACTAGGCGGACTCTGACGACTCGTGTACTTGACAAACATTTGTTATTGGCATATACTTGACATACTGTGTGAGTGGTTTACTTGTGCAATTATTCGTCACTGGTCATGCCGCGTGAGCGCCAAGCTTGTTCTTGATTACAAATGAAAAAAATGTTGTTTAAAAAAATAGTATACTTGCCAAGTATGCAAATATTGGTGTACTTGCCAAGTACTCGAGTGGCATTCACGCGGCGCGACGAGTTACAAATAATTGCACAAATAAACTACTTACACAACATGGCAAGTATATGCCAATAAAAAATGTTTGTCAAGTATACGAGTCGTCAAAGTCCGCCTTAAAATAGTATACTTGCCAAGTAAGCAAATATTGGTGTAGTTGTCAAGTAGCCGAGTGGCGTTCACGCGGCGCGATGAGTGACAAATAATTGCACAAATAAACCACTTACACAACATGGCAAGTAACACAAATGTTTGTCATGTTCACGAGTCGTCAGAGTCCGCCTTAAAATAGTATACTTGCCAAGTACGCAAATATTGGTGTACTTGCAAAGTACCCGAGTGGCGCTCACGCGGCGCGACGAGTGACAAATAATTGCACAAATAAACCACTTACACAACATGGCAAGTATATGCCAATAGCAAATGTTTGTCAAGTACACGAGTCGTCAGAGTCCGCCTTAAAATAGTATACTTGCCAAGTACGCAAATGTTGGTGTACTTGCCAAGTACACGAGTCGTCAGAGTCCCGCCTTTAGACTTTATATATTTTTTCTAATATTTTTGTTTAGCCGAACATTTGTTTAAAGGCGGATTCTGACCACTCGTGTACTTGCCAAGTACGCCAATATTTGCGTATTTGGCAAGTATACTATCTTTGTAATCAACATTTTTTTTTGCAACAAGGGTGCTCACGCGTGCTTTTTTGGTGCTCACGCGGCGCGTCGAGTGACAAATAATTGCACAAGAAAACTACTCACACAGCATGACAAGTATACCCCAATAACAAATGCTTGTCAAGTACACGAGTCGTCACAGTTCGCTTTAATAGATCTATGATAAAATGCACAATAGAACAGTCAACAGTTTTTGTTTGAATGACGAAGTTCAATAACAAATAAATTACTGACTTGTTAAAAAATAGAGTAAATATACAACAAAACTTGCAAACTAGAAATAATATTTCGGCTACGTTTAATTCAAAAAAGGAATGACTTTATACAGATGATCATACACAAAAGTAATTTTAGTTTGATACAAAATAGTAATAAAAACAGCGACCCGGGGGTAATATTACACGCGAAAATATAAACCATTGAATAGGAATGCACGTTTTCTAAATTAAAGAAAACCGAGAGAAACTACAGACGGGTATTTCGTTGGCACTTCTAAACAAATAAATGTAGTGGGAACAACCTCCCCCAGGCAAGAGATTTGTATGAGACAAACATGTTACAAATGATAATAATGACATAACAAACATAAGATACGCGCTTTGTGTGTGCTGAGCCATTTTCTACCCACGGCCTTGGAAGGTAATATTTACGGAATAAAACGTATAGTTTACCTATATTTCCAAGTTTAATTGAATACGGTTTGTAAAACACATAAGCGGGGCTAGATCTCAAAATTTAAGCGATAATAATTTCTAATCTGCAATTCTACTATAGACTCTAAGATGATAAATAGATGGAATTAAGCCGCTTCTAAAAATAACAATGAATTTACAGATGACTTACGAAGGCTATTATGATAACTGACTTAGAAATGTCAAACAAACAATCAATTTTAATTATTTATATTTTCGCCCTACTTATTTATATTTTAATGTAATTTATTTTGTTTTGTCTTCAAATACACAAAGTAGCAGACGTATGTAATGCATTATTTCGGAACTTACTGATATGTTCGAACTGCGTAGGACTACATTCTTAATTACTGAAGGTAGGTACAACATACAGTTTTTCATCGAGGCGCGAGGTTTGGACTGCGCAGTGCAATCCTTGACTGTAATTGCTGTCCTCCATTCGCGAACTTCGAGTTCCGGGCTTTACGCCTTGGGGCTACTCGAGAACGGTTCTGAAAGGAGCTGTGCGCGATAGGCTCGTGCCGCCATATGGCGCGGAACAGTTCTGGAGCTTTATGACTCAATTGAATGGAGTGAGAGTATCGCGTTCTTGAACAGTTCAGAGCTGCTCAACTGCGTGAATGGAGGACAGCAAATGCGAATTAACAACGTGTATTGTGAAGATCTTGAGTCTGTCGGTGGACTTTACTGTTCCAAAATATATTTGAAATTAAAATAAACCACATTTCTAAAGAAATACGTTCGGTTTGTCGTCACTCAATTTGAGCCAGTACTGTTAGTAAGTTCATACATACATATACATACAGTAGTAAGTGTATACAATTATTGACGCCAAAATATACAATATAATTTCAGTCCTAGGCATCGACTGCGTGGTTTTGCCTTAAGGAAATGTATAGAGTGGACCTTTAAACTATCTCTACTTCAATGATCATCGCTGGTTAAGCTTTTTCTGTCTCTTAGGCTCCTTACAAACCTGTTAGATTGAAATTAAGAAGCCGGTCTCGTATCAGCAAGTTATTTCGAATAAACAGCGAAAGTTTTTTGAAGTACGCCAGTTGCTAAACCTTATCTATCGAGAAGTTGGTGCCTGATTCGACCCTGTATCTGCGCGCAAGCCCTAATGGCCGAAGTTGTGTAAAGACAGGGACAGAATATTCTCTCTGCGGCTATTTTCGTATGCGATAAAAGTTGCGCTTTTGCAGTTTCATTTTCCTTTTAAAGAAGGCAGGTGCTTCGAACAACAAAAGGAACACAACTTCAACATAATACATTTAAATAAAGGTTTCCGTAATGAGTCGGAATAATTTTATGAAAGATACTAAACACCGTATAAGTAGATCGCTCTTATTTACACTTGCAAATGTGTAACAATAATGATAATAGCTTGCTTTTATCTCTGAAAGTAAGGTATTTTACAAATAAGGTTTATCATATTTTATACGAAGTGCTCTTTAAAACAAGAAAGAAAATATTCAAGAATTACAAGTCTTTTATCTCAGGATATTTTTTACGGGTAGTCCTGCTCTTGGACTAATTAGAAAATTAGTCCAAGAACTCGTGGCAAAAAAGTGGATGAGTTTTTGGAAGGCTAATAATTTTACAATAGGTTACATTTTAGTAATGAGAAGTTACTACAGAGTAAGCACTTTTAATTCTAAGATACCTGGCTAATAATATTAATTAACAAGGAGTATGACCACAGGAATATATTTTTTTAAATTACTCAATAACATCATATATGATCAGGATTTCCTATTGCGTACTGGGTTGATGGTGCCGGCTTATAACACGCAGGTGCTTTCAATTTTTTACGTAGCCGCGAGCAACACAACCAAAAACCTTTTTTCGCCTGACTCGATTTAAGAATGAGCTAAGAACTGTTCTGTTATAATAAGTACCAATACTCTCTGTGATATTATATACCTACTTATTTTGTTGTTTTATTTTAATTTTTGGTGATTGCCATTTTACTTTTTAGGTATTATTTTGTCGTTTTAATCTTAATTCGAAATTTATTTATTGAGATT